TGCAAAAAATAAAGAAAACACATCTAATCTTACAGTACAGTACCTTGAAAGGGCTTCCTAGGTGGCTCAGTGGTAAAAAATCTGCATGCCAATGTAGGAGAAGAGAGGAGAAGAAGAGAAGTCGCTCAGTCGTGTCCGACTCTTCGAGACCCCATGGACTGTAGCCTACCAGGTTCCTTGGTCCATGGGATTTTCCAGGCATGAGTACTGGAATGGGTTGCCATTTCCTTCTCCAGGGGATCTTCCTGACCCAGGGATCGAACCCGGGTCTCCCGCATTGCAGGAAGACGCTTTACCGTCTGAACCACCAGGGAAGCCCCAGTGTAGGAGACATGGGTTCAATTCCTGGGTCAGGAAGATCCCTTGGAGAAGGAAATGGCAACCTTCTCTGGTATTCTTGCCTGGGAAAACCCTGGACGGAGGACCCTGGCAGGCTACAATCCTTAGGGTTGCAAAGAGTCAGATATGACTGAGCGACTAAGCACACACACACCTTGAAAAGTACAGTAGTAAAACAGCTGGTGTACCGGGGCTGGTATGCACATTTGCATTTTTGAAAGTTCCCAACTTGAAGGTTTGTATGTAGGGGACTGACTGTAGTTGGTATGGAGAAATGAATTTGTTTTCCTTGTGGTTTCAGTAGTTGTCCCTTTAGAAAAGGCTCATGGGAAGACATCAAATTTGTGCCAAATCCTGGAGGGATTGAAGGAAAGAAGTCTAAGTGATAGAGCCACTGTATTGTTAATGTGGAGTTGATAATTCCACACTGTCAGGAATCTAAATTGCAATGAGAAGAAATCTGTTTCTGTTAAATGGTCCAGATAATTTAGAGGCAGAGTCTCTGACAGGGATGGGAATCAGAGGCACTGGCTTTGTCCTCAGCACTGCCAAGGACCCAGTGCTGAGTGGCAGGTTTGAAAGAGTACCTGAAGCCACATGATGTCAAAAACAGATGTGAAGTCAAGAAGGGTAGCCTGCTCAGGCTGGTTATTCAGTCCAGTCATGTCTGGACTGGTCGATTCAGGTCTGAAGCCCATCTGGGGTCATAACTGGGGCTGCAGGCAACAGAGAGAGTGACAAAAGTGGCTCTTGAGGAGCAGACACATGAGAAGACGAAGCTTAGCCTGGAGAAGATTTGAGGGTAGGCACAGCCCCTGTCCCCTGCAAGGAGATCAAACCAATTAATCCTAAAGGAAATCAGTCCTGAATATTCATTGGAAGGACTGATACTGAAGCTGAAGCTCCAATACTTGGCCACTTGATGCAAAGAGCTCATTGGAAAAGATCCTGATGCTGGGAAAGATAGAAGGCAGAAGGAGAAGAGGGTGGCAGAAGATGGGATGATTAGATAGCATCACTGACTCAATGGACATGAGTTTGAGCAAACTCTGGGAGATGGTGAAGGACAGGGAAGCCTGGCATCCTTCAGTCCATGGGGTTGCTAAGAGTCAGACATGACTTAGCAACTGAACAACAACAACCCCTGTTCAGAGAACTAGATCCCATGTGCCACAACTAAGAGTTCTCATGCCGAAACTAAAGATTCAGCATGCCACAATGAAGGTTGAGGATCCCGAGTGTTGCAACTGACACCTGGCACAGCCAATAAATTTAAAAAAATTTTTTAAAAAGAAAAAATGGGAGATGACAGCCTGTACAAGGACGATGTGAAAAGTGCTGGGTGCCAGTGCCATTGTGAAGGCAGAGTCAGGTGTAAATGATTCAGTGCAGGTCCTATGGCAATGGTTAGGAGTTCAGATGAGGCCAAGGTGAATGACTGGAGAACAGTGATGACCATGATAAAAATGAACTGAATCTGGACCAATATCCCCAGAGCTCCCCTGGCCACCACTCCATCATATGGTGACAGACTGCCTCAGGAAAGCCTACAACTGCTTGAAGTCCACTGTCTCCCTTTGGGGGGATCTTGGAGAAGACTTCTTAAGCTTAATCTAATGCAGTTAATCATTACTGATTATTATGCTCTTAATAGTACAACATTAGGCTTAATCATGTATTGAGTAAGAGATGATAAATGAAAAAAAATGATGGATCATGACAGGCAGGCTACACACAGAAGGGAATTCTGATTAAAGGTGCACTGTTATTCCCACCAAGCTTTGAGGAGGAGGTGGATGTGCTTAAACAGCCAGCTTTCCTCTCAGTTTCCCCTTCCCCTCTTCCTCTTTCCTTTTCTTCATTTTTTACCCTCACAAAGTATTTTAATGTTTGTGCTACAATGAGGACAAGTTGTAGTGTGAATCAATAGAATTTTCACATCATGAGAATTCCATTTATGATCGGAGGCAATGGTAACTTACTTCTTTTTTTCATTTCTTTTTTTTTCACTTAATTACTTAATTTATTATTTTTATTTTTGGCTGTTGGGTCTTAGTTGTGGCATTTGGGATCTTTTCATTGCATGTGGGCTCAGTAGTAGCGGCACGTGTGGGCTTTAGTTGCCTGGCCAAGGATAGAACCCGTGTCCCCTGCACTGGAAGGCAGATCCTTAACTGCTGGATCACCAGGGAAGTCCCCGGTAATTTACTTCTTTATGCAGAGTTTACCGGGTCCTATTCTTTTAACTAAGGCAAGTAAGTGTATGTTGTTCAACACACTTTAAAGTATAGGCAACAAAAGATTAAAATTCTTAAGCTGCAATAATTAAAGTACACAGTTTCCCTTCTCAGTGAATGACATCCACCTAGTCACTGAAGTCCTGATTCTAGGCATTATCTTTGATGACCCCTCTCTCTAGTCTCCTACATCTGATCCATCAACAAGGCTCATCAAGTCTGTTTCTGAAATGTACCCGAATGTCTATGCTTGTCTTTGTCTCAACTGCCACCACCGGAGACCAAGCCACTGTCCCTTCTCATCTACAAGCAGCAATTGCCTCTTGCATGTTTCTGTTTTCTCTTTTGCCCCCAGCACTACACTCTCCACATGCTTGAGAGAAAGCCTTGAAAACAGGCTAGATCCTGTTCCTCCCCTGCTTGAAACCCCGCAGTGGCTTCCCATCACAGGGTAAAAGCCACACTCCTACTGCGGCCCACTTGGACCTACGTGATGTACCCCTCCCAGCTTTCCAACCTCATCTCACTCCACCCATGCACTGCAGCCACTCTGGCCTTCTTTCTGCTTTCCAACCACGATGACCTTCCTACTTGGCCAGAGGAGTGATCTTTGCTGGAATGCTTTCCCTCTGATCTCAGCGTGGTTGAGTTCTTTTATCATTTTGATCTCACTTTAGACACCCCACAGAGGATCACTCTATCACACTTTTCTATTCTCTTCACAGCACTGATCTCTTTCTTTTCTTTTTTGTCAGTACTTTTCATAGAGGAATCCTCAGTGTCTAGAATAGAGCTTGACATATTGAATAGGTGCTAATTAACATTTGTGGGATGAATGAATGAAGCCACTTACACCATCATCTCCTCATCATTCTGGAGACCTCCAGACCCTCTCCTCCGACTTAGCATATGGCACTAAGCATATCAGCTATAAATCATATATTGAGGGAGAGTTAGGACAGTTCCTTGAACAATAATCTGCCTTTTGGGAAATATGTTTTGTTCCAGGATTGAACCATTTTAGGATTTTAGACAAATAGAGCCTCTCGGCATTGCTCAGCAAGACTGGGGATAATTATATCAATACTAGTGTGGTGCTTTTCAATTGTTGCTCTGCCTTCTCCTCCTGGATATAGAAAAACTCTAGAACTTTTTGGCGTTCTCTTGGATCTCAGATGCAGTTGAGTTGATGGTACAGTATCATGATCAGTCAGTGCAAATCCCTCTCTTGTTTCCCCTGATACTTCCTCCTTCATCTCCTAGTCACAGTCCCATTCTCCTTTCCTCTCCCAGGCTTCCACTCTTGGGTATTTAATACACATCCTTCCAATTTGTCTTCTAGCTTATGTTATTAGAAATATACCTTTGAAAAATGCAGTGTTTTGTACATGTATACATGGGGTCTTGGAGATCTTTGTAAAAGATAAAAATACTATATTGAAAGAATTCCCTGGCCATTCAGTGGTTACGACTCCATGCTTTCACTGCCAGGGGCTCAGGTTCGATCCCTGGTGGGGGAACTAAGATTCCACAAGATTGTGATAAGGCCAAAAAAAAAAAATCAATTTAGAGAGATATTGGGGTTCCCTGGTGACTCAGTGGTAAAGAATTCGCCCGCAATGCTGGAGACCCAGGAGATGTGAGTTCAGTCCCTGGCCTGGGAAGACCCCTGGAGGAGGAAATGGCAACCCACTCCAGTATTTTTGCCTGGAAAATTCCATGGACAGAGGAGCCTAGTGAGCTACAGTCCATGGAGTCAAAAAGAGTCAGACTTGACTGAGCAACTGAGCACCTTAGAGAGTATCATTACTAGTAGTGTCTCTTATATAAGTGAAAAAAAGTGAAGTCCTTGGGAGCTAATGGGATTACAGAATGTAACAGCTAGGAGTCACTTGGAAATTACTGGCCCTACCCCTTGCCTTATTTGACAAGTGACAAGTGATCTGAGGTCCAGAGGCTTTCTTTTAAATGATTTCTTTCAACGAAACTGTCCCCATTTCCTGAGAGCCTGTATTGGTCAAGGGCCCCAGTCAGCAGTGCTGGAGAACACCGAGATGAATGGCAGAGGCCCTGCACCTGCACCCCCAGCCCCTGAGGAGACTTCTAGAGGAGGCCTGATGGGGTGTGGGCTTACCAGACCTCCTTAACTATTGAGCACTGGGCTCACAAAGGTCTCACAGCGATCTGATCTGGGGATACATCCCACAGCTCCTCCAGTCCTCCCCTTTTTATCTTCACCATTCCCCAAGTCCCCACATTCACCTTCTGAACCAGTGGTCACAGCAGACTCTAGCAGTCAGGTTCCTGGGCGGCTTCTGCTCTTTCTTACTCTTCTCCTGGTTGCCATGGCTCTTCTATCTTTGGTCTGGCCTTGAGTGTCCTGGTGAATCACAGAGTTCTCACCTGAACTTTTTGTGTTTCCAGATTGGAGCCTCTCTGTTTGCCAGCAACATTGGAAGCGGCCACTTTGTGGGACTGGCGGGGACCGGAGCAGCTGCAGGAATTGCCACTGGGGGCTTTGAATGGAATGTGAGTAACACTGGAGACTGTGTCCTGGTCCTGGAAGTAGCTTCAGCAGCCGGCCAGTGCAGTGCACACTCAGAGATGTTCTAGACATTAGAGGACCTCCCGGGGCCACCTTGCAGTGCAGTAGAGGAGGGGCTCAGTTTCAGGCCCCCAGGGTCCTGCTCCCCTTCCACCACAAGAAATCACTGACATGATGGCCTCAGTGTTTCTTTCTTCTCTTAAAAGGGTGGGGCAAATTGAGAGAGTAGCACTGACATATATACATTACCATGTGTAAAGTAGCTAGCTAGTGGGAAGCTGCTAAAAAGCATAGGGAGCTCAGCCTTGTGCTCTGCGATGACCTAGAGTGATGGGATGTGGTGCGGGAGGTTCAAGAGGGAGAGGATATATGTATACTTATGGCTGATTCACGTTGTTGTTCGGCAGAAACCAACACAACATTGTAAAGCAATTATCCTTCAACTAAAAATAAATTTAAGAAAGCCAAGCCCTCTCCTACCCTTTCAGCCACATTAGAGGTTTGGAAATACTTACCACAGATTTCCAATATTATTATTATTTTTAAAAGCTTTCTAAATGGTATTTTACTCCTGTAAACCAGGGAGAAGGGTGAAGGGACTGTGATGCCAGTGGGTAGCCGCCTGGGTCCCTGTCCACTGTTGCCCAACTGTTGTTCCCATGGGCTCATCAGGCATCACAGGTCTCCTTCAGTCACTGATGTCACTTAGGAAGTTGTCCCTAGAGCTCAAAGAGAAAATGCCAGGTGGTTGTTCTGGAGCAGCTGTGGGCCCTGCAGGCAGCAGTGTGGGTTAAGTCTCCTCCTGGTTTGACTCCGCCTCCTTTTTGGTTTTAGGCCCTGGTTTTGGTGGTTGTGCTGGGCTGGGTGTTTGTCCCCATTTACATTAAGGCAGGGGTAAGTATCTGCTCTGTTATTATGTAAGATGTATTTTCCTGCTGGCAAGTATTTGTGTAAACTTGGTCCTCCCGGAAAGCAGAGGAGACTTTTTGGGACAAGAGCCTATGACTTGGCTCTTTCCTGGGCTATAAAGTTCCTGACTGCTCTCAGAGGCATTAAAGAGATCCACTTGGCCCCGACTTGTCCCTCTAGGAAGCCCTCCTAAGCAGGCTCAGTCTATTCAGCACCTAAATTATCACATTCCCTCACATTCACTTGCAAGGTACTGCTGTGCATTGCTCACGATACATAACCGTCTACCTCTGCCCCTGGAAGGGAAGCAGCATGAGAAAAAAGAACCACAGTTTCTTTTCATTTACAAACATCAGCAGTCCTTGTTGCTGAGCATGCAGCTGCACTCATCTACCAAATGTGTGTTCAGTCTCTTGACTAAACCTCTGACATTTTACATAAGACAGCTTTAGCATCATCCATCCAGTGAGATGTAATGAGCATCTACTACCTGTACATCTATACATTGGGAGCTGAAAGCAGTAAAGAGGAAGCACAGGTAGACCTGTGCTCCTGCATCTCCTGGAGGCTCATGGACTGTTGGTGACACATGTCTGATTCCAGGAGACAGCAGGCTCAGGGTTGAGGATATGAGACAGAGTGTGGTTGGAATTTGCAGAAAGGAGCTAGGGGAGCAGTTGAGCTGGCCAGCAGCCACAACCCTTGGCAAGGCTTCTGTGCAGAGCAGGGTGAAGCATGCTCCCAGCCTGGCCATCTTGTTTCGGGGCACTGAAAAGATCCCACCGTGGTTATGACATCTTGTTTACAGTAGGTGCTTTGTATAAGACTATCTATTTAGGGGCTTCCCAGTGGCACTGTGGTAAAGAATCCACCTGCAATGCAGGACATGTGGGTTTAATTCCTGGGTCAGGAAGATCCCTTGGAAGAGGAAATGGTAACCTGCTCCAGTATTTTTGCCTGGAAAATCCCATGGATGGAGGAGCCTAGGGGGCTATAGTCCATGGGATCCAAAAATTGTTGGGCATGACTGAGCACAGATGCACACCGATCTATTTATCTATCACTTTCTCCTTCAAGGCAAGGATCTGTCTTCTTGGTTATATGCAGTCATGTGTTCATTAAAATATTGTTTATTGGGCACATACTATGTCCTGGGATAAGTTGCCTGGGAGTGTAGAATTGAGATGAGCAAATGGCTGGAGGACAGGAACACGTGGACACCTCTCAGACTCCTCTGACCAGCAGGGTCAGAGATGTGACCACACCTCTGACACCAGAGTGGTGCCCTGCTCTGCTTGCTCTGGGCCTTCTGATCACCTAGGCTGGCAGTGACCGCTCTTCCATCCGTGCAGGTGGTGACGATGCCAGAGTACCTGCGGAAGCGATTTGGAGGCCAGCGGATCCAGGTCTACCTGTCTGTCCTGTCCCTGGTGCTGTACATTTTCACCAAGATCTCGGTGAGTCCCCCGCCCTGGGTGCTGGGCACTGGCTGGCTCAGAACCTGCCTACTCTTGCTCCTCAGCAAATGCTGGCCCACAAAGGGTAGTGCTGTGTTGCTGTTAACTCGGTCCCTCAGGCCTTCTTGCTTCTGAGGGTAAAGTCCTATTTCACACATCAAGGACTGAACACACAGACCTCCTCACTGTGGGGAAGGTTGAAGACATAAGTGGTTCGAGAAGGTTCAGTGAAAGCTGTTCTTAGTAGAAGATTAAAAGGAAGTAACGGATGCCTGAGGGCTGGCCCTGACATAAAGCTGTAAGCCTTTATACCCTGTCAGGGTCAGAATCTGGACCTAGTCTTGTCACCTGGCTTTCAGAGTGAACAACATTTTGCCATTCTTGGTTCATCTTTTCCTTTCCACCTTTTTTTCTCCAGTAGTATTTTAAGTCAAATGCCAGACATCATGTCATCTCACTGTAGATTCTTTGGAATGCACCTTTACCTTTTGAAAACATGTAACCATTATGCTGTTAACTACCACAATAATTTTTCTGTTTTATATTATTACCTTTTACATTCTTATACTTTTTTTTGATTGGGTTGTCTTATTGTTGTTGCATTGAAATTGTTCTTTATATATTCTGAATAACTTACCCTTATCTGATATATGATTTGCAAATATTTTCTCCCATTCTGTAGGTTGTCTTTTCGCTTTAGTGTCCTCCGATGCACAAAAGTTTTCAATCTTGACGAAGTCCAATTTATGTTTTTTCTTTTCTTGCTTGTGCTTTTGGTGTCATTTTAAGAATCCGTTGCCAAATCCAAGATCATGAAGATTGAATGCTATGTTTGTTCCTAAGAGTTTTATAGTCTTAGCTCTTACATTGAGGTATTTGATCTACTTTGAGTGATCTTTGTATATGATTGAAGTAGAGTCCAAGTTCATTCTTTTGCACATGGACGTCTGTTTTCTCCCAGAACCACTGAAGTGATTGTTATATCCCGACTGAATGGTCTCACCGGGAACATAGGCTCAGGAATTGGGCCCGTAGGGCTTTGATTGGAGTTGGGACTGATACCCAGCCTCACTGTTCTCTCCCACCCCAGCTTCCTGATGTCAGGGGCTGCTACCCTTGACTGGTGCCTGTGTGATGATTCCACTCCTTCACTTTTTCCTCCCTTCCTTCAGGGTAGTTTTTAGTTACAAGATGAAAACCCTGGGCATTTCAGTCTTACTTCCTTAGAGACAGGTGTGTATAGACTGGACTGGGAGTTGCTGGGAGGGATGGAGAAATCAGGCTTCCTGAGGGAGGGGAGGGCAGGGGCGAGAGGAGGAAAGGAATGTAAGCAGAAAGGTACGGAGGTGACCCTGGCACCCATAGAAGCTGATGGGGACTGCTCCTTGCTCCCTGATTCAGCTTGTGAGGTGGCATCTGTCTAGGGAGCATGCAGAGGGGGGCACTGGCATTCCCTTTCTTGGAAGCCAACCTTCTCCAAGTCCACAGTTCAGGTGGGGGAAAGTCTGCTGGCTGAGCTTTGCCCTTGGAGCAATGCAGCAACAGTCATATAAATAAGCTCAAGGCTCAGCCTCTCTGCCTTCCCAATTACCTCACCTATAGTTCAGGTTACTGATTAAACCTCCTGGACATGGGATCCCATAGGTACCTGAGGGGCAGCCTCCCTCAGCTCAGGTCCTGATGGAGTCCATCCTTTCCCTAGCACTTGGCTTCTTCTGAATTTTACTTTTGAATAGTACTTAGTATGGATTGTGGGCTTCCTAGGTGGTACTAGTGGTAAAGAACCTGCCTGCCAATGCAGGTAGACGTAAGAGATATGGATTCAAACCCTGGGTTGGGAAAATTCCTTGGAGGAGAATATGGCAACCCACTCCAGTACTGTTTCCTAGAGAATCCCATGGACAGAGGAGCTGAGTGAGCTAAAGTCCAGAAGGTCACAAAGAGTCAGACATGATTGAAGTAACTTGCACCCTTTCTGTGTGATTTCTGGGGCTGCTTACTGGAGGCCTTGCCCAATGTCCACCCAATGCCCAGAGCCAGTGATCCCTTGAAAAATGCATATGAAGGATGACCTCTGCCTTTTGTTTTGTGCCAATCTTTTTATTTAGTCTCCAGTAGGGGCTTGACTATTTCCATCTCCAGTCCTCATAAGAGTATGGCATGGGTGGGGATTTTAACTTATTTTCCACTTCATGGAAGAGAAAACTGAGTCTCAGAGAAATTGAGTAATTTGTCTCCAATCGTGTAGCTAGTGTAGGCAAAGACAAGACTGGAGTCTGGGTCTCTCTAGTCCCATTGTCCGTATTCTCACAATTCTGCTCTGTGCTTGGATGGGATGAAGGCATAGGATAACAGAGTGGGATAGATTATCTAGTTCTATGATTGACGCTCCCATTTTTCAGTGGAGAAACTGAGGACCAGAGAAGAGAAGGGGCTTTGTGGGGTTAAACAGTAGCAGAGCTAGGTTGAGAAGCAGAGTATCTGATACTTTTGACAATATGTCCCCTGGGTCTTCTAAGTCCAGTATAAACAGATCAAAATTCAAGACCTTGGGGAAAAATAAAATAGCCAGTTAAGTGACCTTCCAATATAACCACATCTCTGAGAGTGGGATTTGAGAGGACTGTGAAGGGAGAAGTCAGCTCACACTGGGTGCATGAAGGATCTGAAGGTGGGCCATTTAGGCAGTGGGGAGGGACAGGGAAGGCCAGAAAGGCAAAGCTTTGTCTTTAAAAATTAGCCTGACTTCAGATTCACCGTGGGTCACACAGCATGAAATCCTTAAAAGAACTACATGGATAGTGACTGTACTCGCTGGGAGCTAACATTAAGATGCACGTGGTTCAGGGCTTGTGGACAAAAGGAATCGTTAATTAAAATAAGGTAGTCATTGCACACAGAGATTAGTCACTGTTGTTGTGCGTGTGGAGGCATGGGTAGTTTATGATGGATGAGAAAAGAAGAGTGGCCTTTGAGATCCACGTCCAGACAGGGAACAACCAGGGACCTGACAGGAAGGCTTTGGGAGGATGTTGGGATCCAGCGGGCATGTAACTGATAGGAGAGAAAAACTGAAATGAGTTTCAGGTGCAGTGTCCCAGGTGTGGCCCAGGCCACTGACCACGGGTGGCATGGAGTCTTGACTCTGGCTGCCATCTTGGGGCCATGTCCTTTTGGACTCTGAGTTTCTGAGACCGACACTTCATTTTTCCTCCATGTGCTCCTCTGATGGCACAGTGGCAAAGAATCTGCCTGCCAATACAGGAGACTTGGGTTCAATCCCTGGCGTGGGAAGATCCCCTGGAGAAGGAAATGGCAACCCATTCCGGTATTCTTGCCTGGAAAATCCCATGGATAGAGGAACCCGGTGGACTATAGTCCATGGGGTCACAAAGAGTTGGACATAACTGAGTGACTGAATACAAGCATGTATTCCTCAGAATTTTATAGGCTCCCTCCCATCCACCCACTCTACCCTAACACCCTGCCTTATCAAGTTCAGAGAAGCATTCTGTGCTGTAAAATTTCCTGGCATCATGTCTCTTATTCAAATGTACAAGATAAAGCCTCACTTGAGATAAAGCCTCAGATTTTATGAATTACTTGTGATGACCAAACATCCCTGGGTATGTTTCCTGGGACTCTTATCACAGATCACAACTGTAATAAACTTCTATAGCAACTTTGCTATCTATTCTGTGTCTTTGGTTGAAAATAAGAGCTTTGGCTTTGGCTTAAGTTTTGAATGCTTATCACCTTGTGCATTCACTCACAAATAGAGAAATTTGAATAACTGGGTTCTCCATCTCAAACCTCATTGCCAGGCAAGATTTACTGGGTGCTCTGATACAACTCGGACTAGAGTGGGCAGCAAATGCATGCATGTAAAATCACAGGATTTCAAAGCATCAGAACTAAGACTAAATAACCTTCCCAAATCTAATGAGATTAGTTACTCTAAGGGGGTTTCTAACTGGATTTGTATTTTATTGTTCCCTGTGAGTTCCATAGAGCTTGTTCAGTCAAGCTTTCAAAGGCTAAATCCACCTTCCTGTTTTTGTAAATAAAGTTTTCTTGGAACACAGTCATGCCTGTTAATTGATGTATCATCTTTGGCTGCTTTCATGCTTCAACAGTAGATGACTTTGTGCAGGTTGGACAGAAACTGTATGTCCTGCAAAGCTTAAAACATGTATGAAGCGAGCCTTTACAGGAAAAGTTTGCTGGCCCCTGGTCTAGAGAATCATAAATGTCTAGTTCACTTCAAGCTGGTTTTGCGTAGCAGCACCGGGAAAAAGTTCTGTGTCTCCCACCCCCTCACTTTCTCCCTTCCTTCCTTAGTAAGGGCTAAGAGGGGTTTATAGAAGGAGCAATTTGGGATGAGCTATGAAATAATTGATCTCACAGGTTTAGATGCAAGTTCTTTTATATCAAAGCTGGTGGTATATTCTGCATCCAGTCCTCAAATTTTATGAATAAAAAAGTAATGAAATGCTTCAAACATACAGTAAAGTACAAAAAATAATATAGCTAGTACTACCACCAGGATTCTATAGATCTAAATAGCTTATCATTAGAAAAAAAAGAAATAAAATATAATAGTAAGGCTCATTTATAACCTTTTAACCCCATTTTCTTCTTCTTAAAAGGTAAACATTATCTTGAACTTGGTATGTATTCTTCTGGTCTATTTTAAGAATATTTTTACTATAAAATGTGTATTATTCATATATCCATAGGGAATATATTGTGTCATTAAATTTCTGTTTCCTCACTTTGGAACTGTAAAAAAAATATAATGATGGCATTTAAGAATATCTAGAGGGGAAAAGCACCCATAACCCTATAATTATGACACAGACATTTTCACAGTTTGACTTGGCCTATAGTGTGTGTTTTCCTTTAGAGAATATGCAATTCAGAATTCAGAATACGCAAGCCATTTTATGGTCATTCTCCCCCTTCTTAGTATCAAACTGTAAACATTTCCCCATATTTCCATCTTAACAATTATTTTTTAGGGGCCATGGAGCATAATTGTTGATATACAGATTTCAGCCAGCCACCTAAAAATCCTCTGGTGGATGAAAGACTCTCAATAGTGGTCGTCTTTGGGTCTAGTGATAGAAGCAAGACTGTATTAACTTTCAATGTATAACTTTATGTGCTATTGTTTTGAAATAATAAAACATAATTATTTTATTTTAAAAAGAAGTAAACACATTTTTTTTTTATTAAAAAAAGACCTTGCTCTCTGCAGAAACTATTCCAGAAAAGAAGACATTTACCTTTGAATGTTGCGGGAAATCATTGAATTTGGAGATGGAAATCCTGGATTTTAGCCCTTGAGCAAGTCACTGAGGTTTTCTCTCTCATCTATAAAGTGGAGTCAGTTTACTTGTCCTGTTACCTTGTTTTGAGAATCAGAAAAACATATGTATCTAAAAGTCCTTGGTCAACTGTAAAATCCCCTAGATATGGAGGAAAAACTATTCTTATGAAGTGGGGAAATATGTGGGCACCTAAGAGACCCCAAGACATGTCAGAGTGCCTGGGGTTAACAATAAGCTTAGCTATCATGTCGTTGGTCACACCTGCTGACTTTCAGGGTTCCAAGGGCAGAGAGAATTCATTCTTGAAGTTAAGAATGACTCATAGGAGGAAGAATTTTTCAAGGAAGAGCTTTTCCAGTTCATGAGGGAGGTTTTCTTGAAATTCTTTATCTGTCCTGTTAACTGGAAACAGTGCATATTATAAAAGCAAGATTTCAATTAGCCCAACACTTCCCATAGTCTCTATACACTTCATTTATAATGTTATCTTAGGAACTGTGTTACTTATTTGTGACTAATGATGGCAAAGCAAATATTAATGAGGGTATCATAGTCTGCTATGGTGTGTTGTCATAAAGCATTACAAATTAACTATGCTGAAAAATAAACCAAGGGCATTTTAAAGGCAGGAGAAACAGCCTTGTAATCTTTTTATAGCTCACTTATGCTTACTAGCTAATTCACTGAATCTGCAGTGTGCACATTCAACAGCATTCCAATGAGTGGAACCCTCAAACTGAAATAACTTTAGTGACAGTACAGAGGCCTCAGGGGAGAGACTGACTTTGTGAGCACTCATCACAGTTCCACGTGGCCCAGAGTGCAGAGTCTGGCAGGAGTGGCCATTTCACCCTTAGCGAGGCTTTTGTGCAGCGGGGGGCTCTTTCTTCCTCTTCAGCCTTAGCTGCTCCAGAAGGCAAGCTAGAAGAGGTCTCAGACCTAGGAGGGGAATGCTTTCCTCAGCTGCAGATCTTTTCCACTTCCAGCCACTGAGGATCACAAGCCCCAGGAGTCAGAGCTTCCCACTTTAAAGATGAGAACCCTGAGACAGGAGAGGTGAAATGTCTTAGCCAAGGTCACTCAGACCTATCCTGGTAGTACTGGGGATAAAACCCAGGTCCTCTCACCACCAACCCTAAGGGCAGAGGTCTCTTTCTAAGTCACCATCTCTCTCCCCATGTCCTGGATCAGCCTCTCTTCCTCTTCCAGGGAAGACAGTGACAGTAGGTCCCCTGGGACTAGAGAATCTGTCAGGAGCTAAGGCACTAGGTCCTCAAGAGGCCCGATTTGGGGGAAGAGGCCAGACATTTGTTGGTGTGAGATGAGCTCTCTGCCAACCAAGAGGCAGGGAATAGGAGATATGGTCGGTGGGACCGGGCCACTGGAGGCCCTGAGGAGCTGTGAGGAGGAGTAGAGGGGATGATAAGAATCGAGAGAAGATGGAAGGGCGCCCTTCCCCAGGGCCTGACCGGGTGGCCCCTTACATGCTCTGAAATGTGTTCAGTTTTATGCAATAAAACAGTCTTTGCACTGCATCTAGTGAAAGCCCAGTTCTTTTGCATCTAGAGATTTGAAAACAAAAGGTTCACCACCATCATCTCTTAATACTGTCCTTCTGGTAGTATTTTGGAGACAACAAGAACATTCATTTTGGGTGACTCCAGGGCTCTCTGTTGGTTTAACTGCACCAACTAGCCAGGTAGAAAGTTCTTTATGGGGCTAAATGAGGCAGGTAGAAAAATAACTGCATCAAGGACTAGTGAATTCAGAAGTGAAGAGGGAGTGTTTCCCCCTAAACTTACTTGAGATAATCTAGATCAACTGTCCCCAACCTTTTTGGCACCAGGGACTGGTTTTATGAAAGACAATTTTTCCATGGACTGGGGGGTAGGGGATGGTTTCAAGTTGATTTAAGTGCATTACATTTATTGTGCACTTTATTTCTAATCTAATGCCACCATCGATCTGACAGGAGGTACTGGCCCAGAGGTTGCACACCTCTGATCTGGATAAAGACATCTATCACCAAGCCTGCCACACAGGAGGTTCTTGGTGATGCTCTGGCTGTGTCTGAATCCAGATGGATCCCATCTAGACAGAGGAGATAAAATTATGGTAGTGTTTACATCTCTCTCCATTCCAGGGTGAGGGTGGTTTTCCCTCTCACAGACTCCAGCACTCACGCTTGTATTTGGGAGTAGATCTGATAAACCTTTTACACTGAGGTGTAAATGAAGGATAACAGCTCACAATAGCAGCCCACAAAGTGGGTTGTGAGGAGCCTCAAGGTGTTAATAGTTGTTCCTTGGCAAACAGAGTTTCACAGTTGAGTGAGTTTGTTAAGGGTCATTTACTACATTTCTCTCCTGGGGAGTCACAGTATACTGAAGGCTCAGAGAAGTTGTGGGTAAAGAAACTGCCTTAACTTTGTTTAATTCAGCATTTCACAGGCCTCTTTTACAGAATTCTTTTTTTTTTTAAATTATGGAATATTTATTATCATCTTGAATAAAGCGTTTTGGGAAATTTAGGAATAGAGTAGGATTCTCTTTCAGGTATTCATATCCTTTTGTTTTTTCATATATATTCTTATTTTTCTATTATTTCTGTTAGTTTATTTTAATTAATTAGTTATTATTTTTTGGTGGTGCTGAATGTTCATTGCTGTGTTTGGGCTTTCTCTAGTTGCCGTGAGTAGGGGCCACTCCTTGTTGCAGCCCACAGGCTTCTCATTGTGGCGGCTTCTCTCGTTGCAGAGCACAGACTCTAGGCACATGGGCTTCAGTAGTTGCAGCACTCAGGCTCAGTAGTCGCTCTGTGGCTGGTGGGATCTTCTCAGACAGGGACTGAACCAGTGTCCCCTGCATTGGCAGGCAGATTCCTATCCACTGTACCACCAGGGAAGTCCTCCTTTTGTTTTTTATTTTTACTTTTATTGTGGTCAGAACACGTAGCTTCCCGTCCAACCTCTTGACAGATTCTGAGTGTACAATACATATTGTTGACCAGGTGCGATGTGGGGCAGATCTTTAGAGCTTATTACTCTTACTTAACTGAGAGATTATGCCTGTTGATTAATAACTCCACCTTCCCCCAGCCCCTAGTAACAGCCATTCCAGCCCCAGATTTTATGAGTTTGACTATTTTAGAAACCTCATATACATGGAATTGTGCACTGTTTGTCTTTCATAGCCTCAACTGGGGATAAGGATGTGAACCACTAATTGTGAAATTTCAGCCAAAGGTTAAGGGGTTGTGGGCCAGCATGGGGCCCCAGAAGTCACAGGCATTGACCTGACTTAGGAGTTGGTTTCTGCTACCCTCAGCTGACTGACGTGCCTCAGCTGGTCTCTCTCACCCCAAACCCACCTCTCCTCTCCTTTCAGGCAGACATCTTTTCTGGGGCCATATTCATCAACTTGGCCTTGGGCCTGGATCTCTACCTGGCCATCTTTATCTTATTGGCAATCACTGCCCTTTACACAATCACAGGTGAGTTCCCTCGAATGGCTCAGCCCCAACCCAGCTTGGGTTAGGCACTTGTGAAGGGTGAAAGGAGGTAGGAGCCGTGGCTTCTCCTCTCAAGGAAGAGATCCACCCAGGAAACAGTGGTAGGTGCCCCAGAAAAATCCAGTGTTGGTGGGAACAGGAGAGAACTTGTCCTAGTCAGGAGAAGCAGAGAGGGAGGGCCAGGTGCAGGGAGATGTGGGAACAAGGGAGTCAGGAGTGGGAGTGGCAGGGCTGGGCAGGTGAGCAAGTGGATGATGCGTCCTGCTGGAGGAGGGGCCTCAGTGGGAAGTAGTTAAGGGTGGAGGGTGTAGGTGGTAAGACCTGATGGCTGAAGTGGGGTCACAGTGTGGGGGTATTGAAAGTCATTTGACAGAGACCTTGGGTTTGACATGACGGGGGTGAGGGGCACTATAGGGAGGGAGGGGGGAGTGACACACAGATTTTAGAGGAAGACTCAAGATGTGACTGGAGAAGCTGGAGACATGAGTAGCCATTGGGGGCACCTTTGCAGAGCTGTGTTGCTCTACTCTGATTAGGGGCAGGCAGGGTAGGTGATGGAACTTGCTGCCAAGCTGGAGCCCCATAGTGTTGGGGACAAGGATGGCCTGAGAAAACAGAGTGGACACGCAAGTAGCCCTTTGAAATGTGCTGATTTGCTCACGTCCCCAGACATCTTGTGAGGTGTCAGCTCTTTGCTCTTCCCTTCTCTGTCTGTGGCAGATGCTTCTCCTGGCTTAAAGCATCACATCAAACTCTCCATCCTCAAATGGGGGAAACTTTATTTCCAAGGTCTTCCCAGCCTTTCTGTGAAAAGTGGAACATGTGGGTGGCAGACGGCTGTAACAGGACAAAAGAGGGAAGGAGGGAGGGCAGGAGGGTGACTGAGGGGTGCAGAAGACGTGCAGAGGGAGAGGGTGGGGAAGGGAGGTGGGCCGACGGGGTGCCCTCCCCCGAGGTCAGATGCATCACATCCTTTGCTCTTAGGGGGCCTGGCGGCTGTGATTTACACAGACACCTTGCAGACGGTGATCATGCTGCTGGGGTCTTTCATCCTGACTGGGTTTGGTAAGTGGGGCAGGGGCAGGTGGGGAGGTGGGGAGGCAGAGTTAGAGGCCACTGACCTGGGCAGTGAACTGGGCACACTCTGCCCTCCCTGGGGGAGTGGACTGGCCTGGATTGGCCATCACTGTGGGTGTGCGGGGGACACCTTCCCCAGCCCTGAAGGTCTCAGGTTGGGTCCAGCCCAGGCAATACCTGGATTCCTTGCTGCCCTCTCTACACAGTCTGGGCTAGTGCACCCCAGGGAGGGCCTCTGATGTCATGGTCTTCTATCCAAAGAGAAACTGGAACAAAAAGGAAAAAAAAAAGATAAGGCTAAATATCTATCAGACTAAATATATTTAAATGTCACATCTTAAATCTTGGATTGTGTCATCTACCTGTTAAAGTTAAATGTCCTTTCTTTTGTGAATTGATCATTTTCTTATTTACTTCCCTATTTGACAAAAAAAAAAAAAATCAGCAACTCTGTAGTCCCAGTCCCCCAGTTTTGAAATTTTATTTGTCTTGAAATCCTAAGGACAAGACCGAAAACCCTGCAAATAGAGGTACTTGTTATGGGAGGATATAAAAACCCATTTTATTTTTAAGGGGGCTCATGCTTTCTGGGTGTTCTGTGAAGCCTCTTATTGTCTCTCTATGCTGTGTTTTCCAAGATCTTCTGTTTGGTTTTCCTTGGTGTCCTCAGGAGACTGGGGGAGGAGAAAGGAATGCCTTATTCCACAGGTCAGGGCCTGGAATACCTTATTCCCACAGCCAACGTGCGGCAGAGTCCCTGACTTCCTCACCCATCCTCTTCCATCCCACCACACTGCTGGGATGGGGGGTGCCTAGTCTGCGTCCAGGATCCCAAAGGCCACTGAGAAGAGCAGGTGGTGAGGGGGAAAGCAGAATCTCTGAATCTGGTTCAAAACCAAGGTCTATCTTTTAATAATTCAAATACTTGCCCTTTGTAAAGAAGCTCATGGTTGGAGTACATTCACAGGTTATTGCTTTGGACCCACACAGTAGCCCCCGATGGGGCTGGGCAGGGTTAATAATCCCATTCTATGGATGAGAAAGCTGAGGCCCAGAATGGGACAATGACTTGCCCGAGATTGCACAGTGCAAGTTCTGGCTGTGGGCTTCTCAGGCATCTGCAGAAGAAACTGCTGTGAAGAGCTGAGAGTTTCAGGAAGTTGACTTTGTCACCAATGTTTTCCAGCTTTCCACAAAGTGGGAGGGTATGGTGCCTTCGTGACAAAATACATGAATGCCATTCCAACTGTGACATCTTATGGAAACACCACCATCAAGGAAGAGTGCTACACCCCAAGGGCTGACTCCTTCCACATCTTCCGAGATCCTCTCAAGGGAGACCTGCCCTGGCCTGGGCTCATCTTTGGGCTGACCATCATCTCCCTGTGGTACTGGTGCACAGACCAGGTAGGTACCCATGCTGTTGGATCTGGGAGGAGAGAGAGGAGAGAGGAAGACCATGAGGTCTTCCCCAGGGTGCTGCAGAGCCTCCTGCCTTTCGTGCAGCTTGTGGGGAAGGCAGGGCAGGCTCCTGTGGTCTGAGGGCTGCTGAGTCTTGGTGATATGGGAGTGCCAGGCTGACGACCCGGAGTGGTGGTGGGAGCTGGGGTGGTCAGAACATATTGCAGGGTCTCTTGCTTACACCCCCCCCACTGGGCTTTCCCTGGCAGGTCATTGTGCAGCGCTGCCTCTCCGCCAAAAACATGTCGCACGTGAAGGCCGGCTGCATCATGTGTGGGTACATGAAGCTGCTGCCCATGTTCCTCATGGTGATGCCAGGGATGATCAGCCGCATCCTGTTCACAGGTGACAGACACCTTCTGCTGGACTCACCAACCTCTTTTTCCCGCTTCAAAAACCCCCATGGCTCCCTCTTCCTTTTTCTCTTCCCTCTTCTTTTCTTGCCATGATTGTGAAGCATTATTGTCCCCCCTGCCCCAGACACTGAGTGACTTGAGGTCACAGAACTTGTGTAATTGTGTTCCCTGTTTCTTTACGTAGACAATTACGGTTTCCCCTTTTGCAGATTCTCTGAAGTCATGACATGCCTCTAGCTAAGGCTTCTTCTAGCTAACATTTACTCATCTTTTGCTCTGTGTCCCCCCACACCCCCAGGTTATGGTAGTGTGTTGCTGTTCAGTTGCTAAGTCCTGTATGACTCTTTACGGCCCCATGGACTGCAACATGCCAGGCTTCCCTGTCCTTCACCATCTCCCAGAGTCTGTTCAAACTCATGTCCATTGAGTTGGTGATGGCATCCAACCATCTCATCCTTTGTCGCCCCCTTCTCCTTTTGCCTTCAATCTTACCCAGCATCAGGGTCTTTTCCAATGAGTTGACTCTTCACATCAAGTGACCAAAGTACTGGAGCTTCAGCTTCAGCATCAGTCCTTCCAATGAACATTCAGGGTTGATTTCCTTTAGGATTCACTGGTTTGATCTCCTTCCAGTCCAAGGGACTGTCAAGCCTCTTCTCCAGCACCACAATTCGAAGGTGCTCAGCTTTCTTTATGGTCTGATTCTCACATCTGTAGCTAGCTAAAGTCTGGGGACTATTCCCTCTGCTTTCCTCCCTAAGCATTCTTCGTTTTTCCCTCCTCTGCCTAGAAGCTGTCTTTCCTCCCCAGGCAGAGCTTGGGACGGTGAGGACTAGCAGGGCAGGGGGATGGCATAGAAGGGGCTCTTGGGTGCTGCATTCTTTGTGAAACAACTTCAGGGCTGTGGGCAGGAATGTCTTGTTTGAAGTGTTGTCCTAGGTGGCACGAGTGGTAAAGAATTCACCTGCCCAATCAGCGGACACAGGAGATGCACATTAAATCCCTGGGTTGGGAAGATACCCTGCATAAAGAAATGGCTACCCACTGATTTTCTTGCCTAGAAAATCCCATGGACAGAGGAACCTGGTGGTCTACAGTCCATGAGGTCCCAAAGAGTCAGACATGACAGCACCTAGCACGCATGCCTGCTTGACAAGGTGTATCTTGGAAGCATTTCTGATGTCTGCTTGCTGACATGACTCTCTATCTCTCCTCAGAGAAAGTTGCCTGCACCGTCCCCTCAGAGTGCGAGAAATATTGCGGCACCAAGGTTGGCTGTACCAACATCGCCTACCCCACCTTGGTAGTGGAGCTCATGCCCAATGGTGAGAGCTGTCCTGGCTGGCAGGGTCTCTCTTGGGAGGCTGATTGGACTTGGGCTCTATCTTCATAGCTGTCTGTGGGCCTTCTGGAGCAAAGCTGTTTCTGAGCCTGGAGGTCTAGGAGAGAAAGTCTCACTCTGGGGTCCTCAGTATTTGAACTTGTCTTTGCTTCAGTGGGAAGGAGACCTCTGGCTTGGTTGGGCTCTGTGAGTCCTGGTACTCATCCATCAGTCAGGCATGGGAAGGATATCATCTGAAAACGTGTTAGGGAAAAAACACAACTTTTTCATGCTCTAAGGTCTTTTGATGCTCTCCAACAGACATTAACATGAGGGTTGAACTAAATGGAATTCTACCTGGAGAATGAATTGACTCCTAGGTTTTTCCAAGGAAAAACATGGAGAGAAGGGCGAAGAGCGATTTTAGCTTTAGAATGAAGAAGTTCAAGGCAGTAGGTAGATTAGATATAAGGGTGCATCTCATTATAGAGAATATGGAACCCAGGAGGGTGAAGACTTACAGTCCAGAATAGTTAGTTTTGGGGTAGACCTGTGTGTTTACTCTTCATCTTCATGTTGACTAAAAATCTAATTCTGGCTTTAAGGCATGGAAATCTCTTTAGGTTAGGGGCCCCAGGAGACCAAAAATTCAAAGGTATTCATCAGGAAAATTTAGAGTAAACAACATTTTTTTTTACTGAAAGGAAACATGAAGATCATCTAGTAAAACCTGTTCATTTTACAGTTGGGAAAATTGAGGCCTACACAGAGAAAGTGATTTTCTAAGGTCACGCAGTAACTCAGTGTCTGGCATGGTTAACTCTGCTGAAGGTGAGAATTGAGGAATTTTTTTTTTTTTAAACCACAGACTTGATATATGAACTTGGGCAAATCGTTTGTATTCAACTTCGATAAAAATGGGAGTAATAGTTAACAATTCCACTGAACTGGTCTGCTTATTAATTAACGTTGCAGTTAGCAAGAATCATGGCTCTTTTAGAGTTCTGCTGGGATTCTTGCCTCTGTTGGGGTGTTTATGCTGTTTCCTTGGACCTGCAGATCCTGAGTGAGGTAGCTCTGAACACTATACCAGAGTGGATTATGCATAATAGAAAGCTGTGTGGCATGCAAGACAAAATATTGTGTCTGCACAAACCATTGCCAGTCTTTTTGGCTGGAATCTGGCCTCTGTAAACACCAGATTCCCCAGTGACCTCCCCATGCTAAATCAAATAGATATTTTCCATATGTTCCTCAGTAGCATTCAGCATTATTGACCATTCCTCTTTCTTGAGTTATTCCCTCCTCTTGGATTCTATAATACTATCCTTTCCTGTTTTCTCCTCATCCTTTCCAGCTATTCCTTTTAAGTCTCACTTGCAGATTCAGCCTTCTTCACTTAGCTGGTAAATATTACCCCACCAATCCCTCACCAAAGTCTGTCAATATTACCTCCATATATTCATCTACCTCCTCTTGTTGTCTCCATCATGCTACTCTGATATGCCATTGTCTGTTTCCGGGGCTGCTGTAAAATTATGTTCAACAAATATTTGTTGAGTGAATAAATGAATGTGAGCTTGATAAGAGGTGATACAGAAAGGAGAGAGCTATATCCCAGCTTAGCAATTAACTGGTAAATCACTCTGAGCAAAGGGCAGAACAAAGACTTAAAGCCCTACAGACTAATTCCTTGAAATGGACATTTTATTCTATTACTGAAAAATGAGAGAGTTGGATGATCTTCGTAGCTCCAATAGTCTGTAGTCTACATGACAGACTCTCAAGAGGAACCATTAAAAAACCCTCCCAACAAATGACAAAATGATCAGAATAGGCAAATTTAATTTTCTTCTTGTTAGTCTGTAGATTAAAACAAAACTATAAAATTATTTACAGATACAATACCTAGAGGATGATAGAATAGTTTTCCAAAACTCTATTAGATATATGAAAATATTTTCTCCCATTCTATGGCTGTCTTTTCACTTTCTTGAAACCTCATCTTTTGAATCCTAGTGTAAATATTTCTCTATTATCATTAATCTTTAGATGAGAGACCTTATAAAGTCTCAGATGGAAACACATACATGCACGCGCACACACACACACACACACACACACACACACAGACAACCATCACCACCACTACTGCCAGCAATCCAACTGGAAAGCATTTACTGCATGTATACTTTGTCCCTAGCTCTTTGTTGACTGCTGTGGACTTCCAATATAATTTAAAGACACAGTCCATTCCTTAAATGTCTAACCTCTCTGGAGAGATAAATCAAATAATATGGCATGGTGTCAGAAGGCAAAAAACCTTGAGTTGTCACAACTTTTCAAGCACAAAGGAGCTGAAATGCTGCATGTACCACTCAGAGCCTCCTTTTCTTCCAGGACTGCGAGGCCTGATGCTGTCGGTCATGCTGGCCTCTCTCATGAGCTCCCTGACTTCCATCTTCAACAGCGCCAGCACCCTCTTCACCATGGACATCTACACCAAGATCCGGAAGAAAGCGTCTGAGAAAGAGCTCATGATTGCAGGAAGGTAAGTACAGCTCCCCCTGTCAAGCTCCATGAAAACTTGAATAACCAGAGAGGTTCTCTCAAGATGGGGAAGATTGGTAGATGCTGGGTAGAATGAGAGTAACCACCGTGGAAGTTATATTGCTCTCAGTGGCATTTAACTTTAAATCCAAGATCATTAAAACAGTGTCCCTCTGGAACATGAAATGACATCAGAGATCATTTAATCTGGAGCATGAAACAACATCAGGGATCATTAATCTAACCTCAGTTTATCAGTGAACAAAATGAGGCTTGTCGTACCTAAATAAGGAAGTTTGGACAGCAGCAGAGCCAGGACTGGAACCCACGGCCAACTGAGTCCCCGTCTAGGCCCTGTATACCATCCCACACTGTTTTCCTCAGGCCTGCACATTGCAACTCTCCTCTCTGGATGTCTTTTAGGCCCAGGTGCCTCCAATGCCTTGACCCTTTGCTGTAGCATTTTATAGGACCACTGTGAGGGTCAGGTGATACTGTGCTTGTGAATGCGCTTTGTAAAGTCTAAAACACCAGACTGTGTGCACTTGTTATTGTCAAGTGGGCTAGTGGACACAACAGGATACTTGACACAGTAGGTATGGATCTGTGGGCCAGGTGTGCCCATTATCTTGACTATCCACGGAGCAGAGGCTCTGGGTAGAGGGCCAGCAGAAGCTCTGCTGTGTCTCTCTGTGGGGTGAAGGCAGGCCAACCTCCTCAGGGCAGGTGAAAAAATCCCTGGGATGTCTGTCCAGGGAAAGTTTCCCAGGGAGTGCTGCCACCCCCTACATCTCATGAGCAAGACTGGGGCAAAGGAAGGAAAGGAACATGACAGGTGACTCGCAGGCGATGAGACACCTGGCACCCAGGGGAGGTCAGACTGGGCCAGAGTCTGCCCTCTGCTTCACAGGAAGCAGCATGGTTCCCTGACAAGGTTTTCCTCTGAAAGATGTTTACTGGCATTCTCTGTTATGTATATGACTCAAGATGCAACATGGAAAGAAAATCATTTTGTTGCTTTGCTCAGGGCTGGATCTCTTGGCCCTGAGATTGTGTTGGGGCTCACACTTCTTGTGCATCCAATAACTGCTGCTCTGGGGTTTGTCCCTGTCTTCAATAAGTTTACTGTTACAAGAAACAATTCTACACTGTGCTCTGCTGCCTGTAAGAGCAATCACAGGCTCAGAGAAGGGAGAGATGAGTGTACTAGTCAGTAGCTGAGCAAGGCTCCTGGGGGAGGGAGACCCAAGCTGTGTCTAAATGGTGGATAGGATCTGAGTAAGTGGGAGGCAATGGGAGGGGCACTTTAGAGGGAGAAATATGTGAGCAAGAACACTACCTTGTGAAGGTTAGCTTAAGACTCTTCTGCTTTAAATTCAAGAGATAAGAGAACCACTGCCTTCTTTCTAATTAAATCAAGAGGTTAAAAGGAACCCTCCCATTTTCCCCAGGTGATTCAGTGGTAAAGAATCTCTCTACCAGTGCAAAAATTCCAGGACACCCGGGTCTGATCCCTAGGTCAGGAAGATCCACTGGAGGAAGAAATGGCAACCCACTCTAGTATTCTTCCCTGGAAAACCTCAAGGGCAGAGGAGCTTGGCAGGCTACAGTCTATGGGGTTGTGAAGAGTCATATATAACTGAGCACACATCCCATCTTTTCAGGACTTGAAGTGAAACTCAAAAGGAGGAGAGCTAGGGATCCCTGGTGGCTCAGATAGCAAAGAGTCTTCCTGCAGTGTGGGATACCTGAGTTCAATCTCTGGGTTGGGAAGACCCCCTGGAGAAGAAAATGGCAACCCACTCTAGTATTCTTGCCTGGAAAATCCCATGGATGGAAGAGCCTGGTTGGCTACAGTTCATAGGGTCGCAAAGAGTCGGAGACAACTGATCGACTTCACTTTAACTTTCAGAGAATTCCCAGGTGGTCCTGTGGTTAGGATTCCGTGTTGTCACTGCCAAGGGTGCAAGTTCAATCCCTGGTTGGGAAACTGAGATCCCATAAGTTATGAGGCATGGCCAAAAAAAAAAAAAAAAAAGTAGACTGGTTCCAAAGTCCTCACCTTTGTTCCCAAACACCACTGCCTCTCAAAGTGGATTCTTTCCTGGTGGTTAGTAGGTCTACTTTACTGTTGAAAATCAAGTGCATTTTACTTATAGGCAAAGAAGATTTTCCTGAAAGAGCAGTGCTATGTGCTTAGTTGCTCAGTCATGTCCGACTCTTTTTGACCCCATGGACTGTGGCCCACCAGGCTCCTCTGACTTGGGGATTCTCCAGGCAAGAACACTGGAGTGAGTTGCCATGCCCTCCTTCAGGGGATCTTCCCAACCCAGGGATCGAACCCACGTTTCCCACAGTGCAGGTGGATTCTTTACTGTCTGAGCCACAAGGGAAACCTCTGAAGAAGCAGAATACAGAAGAAAAGGGTCTCAGCGAATTTGCTAATTATTTTTCCTTGCTCTGGTCATATAAACCTTTCTATCTATCTATCTCTACTGTTGCTGTTATTCAGTAGCTCAGTCACGTCTGACTCTTTGTGACCCTGTGGAATATAGCCCTCCAGGCTCCTCTGTATGTGGGGTTTCCCAGGCTAGAGTACTAGAGAGTGTTGCCATTTCCTTCTCCAGGGGATCTTCATGATCTAGGGATTGAACCTGAGTCTCCTGTATGGCAGGTAGTTTCTCTATCTATCTATCTATAACTATTCCAGTGGAGCCATTTGTTGACACCCTGTTGTGGGGCTTAATTTCAGGTTGTTCATGCTGGTGCTGATCGGTGTCAGCATCGCCTGGGTGCCCATCGTGCAGTCAGCACAAGGCGGACAGCTCTTCGACTACATCCAGTCCATCACCAGTTACTTGGGACCACCCATCGCAGCAGTCTTCCTGCTTGCTATTTTCTGCAAGAGAGTCAATGAGCCGGTAGGTATCATGAATGTTTAGAAAAGTCATTTGGGCACAGAAATTCCCATCTGGATTTGTATATTCTCTGGGAGGAATTCTACTTCCAGATATCTTGAGCAGGAATGAAGGTGCTGGTGAGGATTTATATGGAAAATCCTCCAGGGACCTTGGGACTCTCCTCCTCGATGCAAGTTCTAAATTAATTCCCAAGTAATGATGTGTGTTTTCCATCTACTCTGGGTGATTCTGACTGTGTGGCACCCTCTGGGAAGCTTGTGGCCTCTGGGCGAACAGCTCCATAGGAAGTGCTAGCACAGCCTACCTCCTGGGTTCTTTAGGGGACTAGGTTTTCCAGCCAGCACTTCTCAGGGCCCAGTGAAGGACCAAAAAGTGATACTCCAGCCAGAAAGGGATAAGGGTGAGGGGACTTTGGATCTATAACAGGGGCTGGTGGAAAAGTTCCTTTCTCCTCTTCCTCTAAGAGACCCAGTTTCTTTCCCATGTCTTCAAGGAATACAGATTAGCTCACAAGTAATTGTGTTATAACTGAATGTACCTAAATCTGGGTCTGATGGTAATAGCAGCTGCAGGTAGAGAAATTCAAAGTATTTTTAAAGTTAAAGGGATTTTTTTTGGCACTGAGAACTTGGGTGCTATTCTAACCAAGGGCTTTCCGGGTAGCTCAGTGGCAAAGAATACACCTGCCAGTGCAGAAGATGTAGGAGACATGGGTCCAATCCCTCCATTGGGAAGATCACCTGGAGGAGGAAATGGCAATCCAATCCAGTACCCTTGCCTGGAAAATCCCATGGACAGAGGAGCCTGGCAGGTCCATGGGGTCGCAAAAGAGTTGGCTGGACATGACTGGGCAACTAAGCACACACAAACACCAAGTCGAGTTACTAAAAGGTGGTAAATGGAGCCATCGAAGGCCTGACGTAACGTTCCTAGTCATGTTCTCAACTCCAGTGTTCCTGTTTCAGATGGCCTGGAGCTCGTATTTCTCTCACTGTTATTCTTTTGTCTCTGTCCCCCAGTGAATGCACAGCTGTTTCCCAAATACAGTGTTCATTAACCAGGCTTTTCTTTCACAGGGAGCCTTTTGGGGATTGATCATAGGATTTTTGATCGGGGTGTCCCGTATGATTACCGAGTTTGCCTATGGAACTGGGAGCTGCATGGAGCCCAGCAACTGTCCCACGATTATCTGTGGTGTCCACTACTTGTATTTTGCCATCATCCTCTTTGTCATTACTATCACCATCATCCTGGCCGTCTCCCTCTTCACCAAGCCCATTGCAGATGTGCATGTGAGTGTCCGTGTAGAAGACTGTCCTGCGCTGGTTTCATGTTCATGCTGCAGCACTCGACTTGACTGCTTTGGCTCAGTTAGAGGTCTCTTACGCTCATGACTGAAATAGGCTGTCCTTGTCTTTGGTGTCATGTAAAAGGACACGTGGGCTTCCCAGATGGCTCAGTGGTAAAGAATCCAGCTGCAATGCAGGAGACCTGGGTCCGATCCCTGTGTCAGGAAGATGCCCCAGAGGAGGAAATAGCAACCCACTCCAGTATTATTGCCTGGGAAATTGTATGGACAGAGGAGTCGGATGGGCTACAGTCCATGGTGCTGCAGGGAGTCGGACATGACTTAGCAACTGAGCATGCGCAGAAGGACAGGCCCGGAAGCATGGTTTGCCAGCAGAGCAGCAGGTCACGCTTCCGTCCAAGGGACTGCTTCTCTGGGTCCTGCTGCTGGGTGCCGACTCAGGAACGAGGCCGTGAGATCACGTGGGCAGACACAGGGTTACCCCAGCTTGGATGCCTATGTCCCAGATAGGAATGCGTGTTTCTTGTAATAGTCTCTAGGTCATAGCTTCCAAAGGTCCCAGCAAGGGACATACCTCGTTGTAAAAGTCACCACACTGAGGGAAATCTGAAGCATGGTATACCCTTTATTTTTTTTTTTTCCCAATGAAGCCTCCAAACAGTTGCCCATGAAATTTAAGAAATTTCAAATGGTATCAAAGTCTAATTGATTCAAGACTTCAAAGATGACAGGTACTCTTCTTTAGCTCTAAATGTTGCCCTTGGTTTAGGGAATGTTCACAGCCCTCCCAATGCAGATGAAGATGACCAATTGTGGGTCACTTTTTACCATAAGCAATGTAGTCTGGTAACCCAGCACAGCTAACATTCTACCCTTTTCAGGTTTCCAGTGAACAGAGTTAGAGAGTTAACCCAAGATCACTTTTGTCTGAAGAGAAAGAGAAAGGCTTTTGTTGGTCCCTTTCTCATGCATACACAAAAATAGGAATCCCTAACAGACCTTTAACCTCACCACCAAATTTTCAAAACTGTGACCAACCTTAATGTCAAACAAAGATTGTTTTATAGCAGTAGAACTGCCATCATGGTTATTGGCCAACTCTGTCACAGACTCTCTTTATGTTGTATTAATTGCTTCTTGATGCCTCAGTTTTTCAAAGTATTGTAGCCCCAAACTCATTTAGTTCCATGCTTCTTGAAATAAAGTAGTTTCTGGTTTCATGTCCATAGAAAGTATACCTCCAGCTCTTCCTATTCTAACTGGCTCATGAGTCTACAATTAATATGGTACAAAAATCTGATCTTACTTACACTGCTCTCTGGATAAATGGGTGCCTGGGCTTGTTTCCTAGCATGAGTGCTAAAAGGAACAAATTCATTTATCATATGTAACAAGAGATCATTCATTCAAAACATTTCTATGCTCATGACAGTCTCTTAGCCTCTGAATATGCTCATATCCTAGGGGATGGTATGTGCATGTATATGATTTATATCCACATTCCCAACATATTCAGAGATAGTGCTGTGGATGGGAGCTGTCATCTGTGTTGTTGATGGAGTTGAGAGCCACATTCCTTTTCCCTTCTCGACACACATCTCTTTGTTCTCCCAACTTCTTGGCCCAGGACACTACTTGGATCTTCCTGCTAACCTGTTCTGCTTTCTCCACAGCTCTACCGCTTGTGCTGGAGCCTGCGTAACAGCAAAGAGGAGCGTATTGATCTGGATGCAGAAGACGAGGACATTCAAGATGCCCGGGAGGATGCCTTAGAAATAGGTGATTTGTGGCTCAGAGCCTATTCCCAAGTTACTCCTCCAACTACAAGACCACCTTACTGAAGCCTTCACCAAGTGCTTTCAAAGCTCAGATCTCTCTTCTGGAGGGGAGTGAGGAGCAGAGTATGGGGTGAGATGGATAAATGGGCTTTGAGCAGTTCACTCAAGGCCTTGTCAAGGGGAGGAGGAGGATGCAGAATCGTCCCCCTTCTTGGTTTACAGTGCTCAGTGAGTAAGCACAGGTGAGATATTCACCACCCTGACTTGGTTTTGAGCTTGGCTAGGGACAGGGAAGATACTAGCCTATAAACTGAAAGTAGTTGGAGCCAAAGCTATGGTCAGTTCTAGTGATATCGGGGGGATGAGATGGAGGCTCTTAGTGTCTTGTGTCTTGCTGGCTTACCATATCATGTTTAAAATATCAGATTTCCCTGCAAGTCCACTAAGATAATGCTTGTTGTTATTTGTTGTTCAGTCACTAGGTGGTTTCTGATTCTTTGTGACCCCATAGACTGCAGCCCACAATTCTCCCCTGCCCTCACTTTCTCCTGGAGTTTGCTCAAACTCACGTCCATTGAGTTGGTGATGCCATCCAGTCATTTCATCATCTGCCACCCTCTTCTCTTTTTGCCTTCAATCTTCCCCAGCATCAGGGCTTTCCAATAAATCAGCTCTTCATATCAGGTGGCCAAAGTATTGGAGTTTCAGCTTCAGCACCAGTCCTTCTAATGAATATTCAGGGTTGATTTTGTTTAGGGTTGACTGATTTGATCTCCTTGCTGTCCAAGGGACTCTCAAGAGTCTTCTCTGGCACCATCATTCTAAAGCATCAATTCTTCAGAGCTCTAAGATAATGCTTAGTCAATGCTTAGCGACTTATCCTGATCATGGAGCAATGTCTTCCTCAATTTCTGTGTCGGAGCTTTTTCTCCCTACATGGGAGGGGTGCACACATGGAGGTTGGTCGTGGTGATGTGTAGTGTGCAGAGGTGTGGGAGCACAAGGTCATGTGTGAGTTACTGGTCCTGTCCTGGAGAGGGGAGTGGTCTCTGACCATGGTGCTGAAAACACAGTGGGTTTGATTTCATATTTATTGAGTCACAAACCTGGGATTCTAACCCAGGTCTGCTCACCTTTAATGCCACACCTGGGCTTAGAGCACAGCATTAGTTCCCTTGGTGGGCATCCACTTTTAGTGTCAAGGTCAGTTGAATGGTTTGACTCAGCAATATCAGATCTTAAGCTCACTTGCTGCTCACTTGCTCACTTGCTGCTTACTTGTTGATCACTTGCTGCCCTGGATCAGGGACTGAAAAGACCAATCCTTGCCACATGGCTAGATCTGTTGTGAAGCCTTGGATTTCCAGGTGCAGTCAATACACTCTTGAGTCATGCCAAACTCATTGCTTTCAGCGATGTAGCAAACAGATATGGGTTTCTCTGGTTGAGAGGTGGGTTTTCCACATTCTTCACATGTCACAGTCCCCCAGTCAATGGTTAACATTTCTCTCTCATAAGCTATTATTTCTTGTTTGATTCTGAGTGTCCTAAATCAAAATGTATTTTCTTTGGGCCCAACAGAGGTAAAATATACCACCACAGTATATTATATAGACTCCAACTATTAACATCATCTTATAATTAATTACATTTATCCAAACACTAATTTGTACCATTTTTATTCCTACAAACAAGAAAATTGGGAGCTGTGTTCAAAGTGGCAGATGTATCATGACCTGATATCTCCTCTGGAAATCTTTTCTAGTGCCTCCTGCTTCTGTATCCAACAGTCCTTTTATTCCTTTCCCCAGACACAGAAGCTTCTGAGGAGAAAAAAGGATGCTTCAGGCGGGCCTATGACCTGTTCTGTGGCCTGGACCAGCAGAAAGGCCCCAAAATGACGAAGGAAGAGGAGGCAGCCATGAAGCTGAAGATGACAGACACCTCGGAGAACCGTTTGTGGCGGATGGTAGTGAACATCAATGGCATCATTCTGTTGGCCGTGGCTGTCTTCTGCCATGCCTACTTTGCCTGAGTCCTGCTTTCTGCTGCAGGCTGTGCTTGTGGAGGCTGGAGTCTTCACTCTGTTTCTCTTTGGTCTCATTCAGTGGTGTTAAAGGGACACCAGCCAGTTGTAAACTGCCCTGTCAATAAATGTGTACATTTGTAATTACAGGCTATCTGGAGAAAAATCACTGATTTGCTGTTAACTTATATATTTGAGGCCAGTGTGGTACAGTCATCTGTATGTATCAGAGCTGCAGAAGGAAATTCCCCTCAGTCCAGTGTCTAGGAAAAAGCAGACTAAGATACAGAAGCCCCGTGATGTCTGATGCAAGTTTTTCTCAGGTAGATTCAGTGTGTTAACATTGTTTGTGATCCTTAAATATTGCTTAAAGAGTTGTGGTCCCCTGATTACTACCACTTTCTCTATCTAACCTCCCCCCTCATTTTTTTTTTTTTGAAAGAAAACATCACCCTACCTCATGAAATCCTTGTCAAGTTTTCCTGGCACAAGAAAAATCAATCTGATAAATTGATGAACACATTGAACCTGAGGATGGAAGCTTGATGGGGTCTGTGTCCTGGGTGTTTGCTCTTTGAAGGAGAGGCCTGGACATGGCAGTACCAGTGCCAATAAAAGGGATCCAGGCACCAGCCTTGGGCCAGAGGGGAAAGCAGATAATCTTGAGTCAAGGGGGTTTTCTGGCTTTCTTGAAAATGTTCATTGTCAGTTCCTTGTGTTTGAGATTTCATTTGTTTTGGCATTTCCTGTGCCTGGACTATCTTAGCCACTCAGTAATGTTTGTGGACTGAATGGATGACATGTGTATTTGTTAATAAATGCTTGTTTTCTTTTTGGGCTTCCCTGGTGGCTTGGATGACAAAGAGTCTGCCTGCAGTTCAGGAGACCTGGGTTCGATCCCTGATTCAGGAAGATCCCCTGGAGAAGGAAATGGCAACCCACTCCAGGATTCTTGCCTGGAGAATCCCATGGACAGAGGAGCCTGGCAGGCTCCAGTCCATGGGTTACAAAGAGTTGGACACGACTGAGCGACTTCACTTTTCTTTTTGGTTAACCTTATGGCTGCACAGAGTACACTCTCTGCTGACTATAGTGAATCGGGGTGCATTTTCCAGAGGCCCCACTTCCTCGTGGCGCTGATGTAACTGATTCTGTGGGGGCTTAGTAATTGACTCTGTGTCGCATAATGAGCAAACATGCCTCTGGCGGCACTTGTCATCTCAGAGCAGCTTCACTCTCCTAAAACACTGATACTTTTAGCCCAAGATCCTCCTCCCTATGAGTTCGGGTGGCCACAGCTCTTTTCCCTTATGTGTCTTGATTGGTGATCATCCATTGAACAAGGTTAGAGTGGGTGGTCTCTGTTCCAGGTGGTATTTTGTTCAACATTTTTATTTTCTGTTGTACCTCTTTCCTAAGGAGAAATTTTAAAAAATTAAATTTAAATTTGATTAATCCTTTTAGTTCCACCTGTGAAATCTAATCATTTTGTAATATAATTCTGTGGAAGTCATGTTGTTTGTATTGACTGATTTGAGACTAGCTTAGCAAATAGGTGGGATCTGAGGTTTAAATATGGTTCAACAGGTAAAGAATGGCTTGTTCTTAGGAAAGGAAATGAAAATATTTGATGTGCCCTCATATTCCCCTTAAGCCAGGCAGAGAAGAGTGGAAAATTTCACATGGCTAGTATTACTCAGAGTACTCAGCTTTGTGGGGAGTTTGTGATATTTTTTGAGCTCAGAGAAGATAAAGAATGATAACTGAAAGCTGGTGGGCTGAGCAGGCATTCAGTATCTAGATGTCCTAGATTCTGTTTCTGACCTTGCCAATGATTCACTGTGTGTATTGTGGTAAATTATTTTTTTCTCAACTGTGTATTTTTCTTTTTGAAAAAATGAGGACCTTGCTGCTTATAGCATATACCTACCTCCTCTAGGTGTGACAAGGTCACTTTGAAAAGTGGATGAGTGAAAAGAGGATGGCGTCTTTCTTACATATATGAAGAATGCCAACAGATGTTATATTAAACTGCATTTAGTTCTTTTCATTAAAATTTATTACTTTGGTTAAAAAAAAATAAAAACACTGAAAATCCATGATGTCTTGATTTCCTGTTTTCTAGCCATTCTAGACAAATACTGACCATGTCTGTGGTGAGAATTAGTTGGCATGAGATATGCATTAGGAAGCAGAAGCCAGGAAAGTTAATAGAATCTAGCAACTTGAACAAGTTAACTACATGTAGCAAAGTTTGGAGAGGATTTCAACTTCAAAACCTCTAGTAAAAACGAGGTGAGTAACTCTACCTTCAATGCACAGTGTTCCATGAGAACCACTTCGGTAACCAGGGCCCAGTAAGTGATAAATTGTACTAGAATGATGTCAGGGATGCAAAAAGCTGTTTCTTTCCTCAGATGCAAGGCATGTGCTGTGGTGCAGAGTGATTGCTCATTAATGTTAGTTTATAGAACTGAAAAACCATGCCCTGTCAGGAAAAAAGCTTCTTTACATATGGAGCTTCTTTACATATGGACTGATGCTGAAGCTGAAACTCCAATACTTTGGCCACCTGATGCAAAGAACTGACTCATTTGAAAAGACCCTGATGCTGGGAAAGATTGAAGGTGGGAGGAGAAGGGGACAACAGAGGATGAGGTGGTTGGATGGCATCACCAGCTCAATGGACATCAGTTTGAGTAAACTCCAGGGGTTGGTGATGGACAGGGAGGCCTGGCATGCTGCAGTCCATGGGGGTGCAGAGTCGGACACGACTGAGCAACTGAACTGAACTGAACATATGGAGGATCATTTTAAAAGGAACCTCTCAAAACGAGAAGACAAAGCTCCTTCTGTGCAGAATGATGTTGGTTCTGGGGCCTTTGACAGACCAGGTAGCATTTCTTTCTTCTGTACAATTGAGTCAGGCATTGGTGTTTAGATGGAAAAAACTCTACCTTAAAAAAAAAAACTACTTTAAAAATTGGAGTAAAATCACTTTATAATGTTGTGTTAATGTCTGCTGTACAACAGTGTGACTCCGCCAGGAGTGTTCATGTATCCCCTCCCTCTTGAGCTTCCCTCCCACCTGACCCATCCCACCCTTCTCGGTCATCACAGGGCGCCACAAGAGCTCCCTGAGCTATACAGCAGCTTCCCACCAGCCAGCTATGTTCCACGGGGTCGTGTGTATGTGTCAGCGCTACTCTCAGTCAAATCTCTCCCTTTGAAACTCATTAGAGCTCTCACTTTTCACTAGTACTGAAATCACCATTTCCTGAAAGATCTGCTACAGCTTGTTCCGCTTCACAAAAGCAAACCTTGGAAGAAAAACACATGTGTGCTTAGCTGGAGGAGACAGATTTTTTTTTAACATTACCCCCAACCCAGTCCCAAGAATACTCCTTCTAACCTCCAAACTGGATTTCGGTGAACCAAGGTTTCGAATGAGGTGCTATTGCCTTGACGGGTTGGTGGGGATGGAATTAAGGTGATGTGGGTGGGTTAACGGGGCAGGATTGTTTGACTGGCTCTGGAGGATTCAGGTGAGTGTTATTCAGTCCCTGAGCTTCACATTGCATCCGTGACTCAGCCAGTTTTTTTCTGTCACATTAGCTTCTGCTCTTCTATGACGGCTCTTCCAAGACTCCTAGGACACAGGTAACGATGCTGTCTGGTTCTAGGCCACACCCAGCTGGAGAGAAGCTGGTCCCTGTGTGGACCTGCATTCCTAAATCACACTCAAAGGCCAAAATAAACATTAGATATTTCAGACTGGAAAAATTCAAATTAGAATTCTGATGCTTGGCTTGTGCCTTCTGATAGTCCAGGAGTCAAGGTGCTGGAGTCCTGGGAGCCCCAGATGCTTTCTCTTTCACTCTTTGTTGAAAACCTCTGTGATCCTGCCATCCAAAGGCCCTGCCCCTCCTGCCTTCTCTCACCCTCAGGCCCTATGTGTTCAGTTTGTAATTCTATTTCCTTTTGCTGCATGACATCCACTTCAGATTATTGTTTCCACAGGAAACTATGACTTGGAAATCCATAAGATGCAGAACTGACTTTACCTGTGTTGTAGGCTTAATTGTGTTCTCTTCTCCAACTTATTCATTTGGTTAGGTCTAATTCCCTAGTGCCCCAGACTGTGACTGCAGGGGCCACGGGAACTAAGATCCTACATGCCATTTGCTGTGGCACCCCGTGCCCCCCCACCAGGTAATAAAGTTTAGAAAATAAAATAAATTTAATAAAAATAAAGTCAATAAAAATAAAGAGAGTTCCAGAAAAACATCTATTTCTGCTTTATTGACTATGCCAAAGCCTTTGACTGTGTAGATTACAATAAACTGTGGAAAATTCTGAAAGAGATGGGCATACCAGATCACCTGACCTGCCTCTTGAGAAACCTATATGCAGATCAGGAAGCAACAGTTAGACCTGGACATGGAACAACAGACTGGTTCCAAATAGGAAAAGGAGTACATCACCCGAAAAGTATTGTCACCCTGACTATTTAACTTATATGCAGAGTACATCATGAGAAATGCTGGGCTGGAAGAAGCACAAGCTGGAATTAAGATTGCCGGGAGAAGTATCAATAACCTCAGATATGCAGATGACACCACCTTTATGGCAGAAAGTGAAGAGGAACTAAAGAGCGTCTTGATGAAAGTGAAAGAGGAGAGTGAAAAAACTAAGATCATGGCATCTGGTCCCATCACTTCATGGGAAATAGATATGGGGAAACAGTGGAAACAGTGTCAGACTTTATTTTTTGGGGATCCAAAATCACTGCAGATGGTGCTTGTAGCCATGAAATTAAAAGACGCTTACTCCTTGGAAGGCAAGTTATGACCAACCTAGATAGCATATTAAAAAGCAGAGACATTACTTTGCCATCAAAGGTCCGTCTAGTCAAGGCTATGGTTTTTCAGTGGTCATGTATGGATGTAAGAGTTGGACTGTGAAGAAAGCTGAGCGCTGAAGAATTGATGCTTTTGAACAGTGGTGTT